CTGGAAAGGAACTCTGTCCAGTGAAGGGAAAATTCAAATTTTAACTGCTCAGCAATGATAATTCAGGACCAAGGAACAATCTGGCACGGAGGGCAAGAAGGTCCAACAGTTTGGAAGCAGGAACACCAAGGACAGAACGATTCCCTCTGAGGTTGTGAAGTTTCCCTTCCTGAAGAGGTAAGAAATGATGCAGCATTGCCTGGTGGCAATGGTTCATGGAATACAAGTGCTCAGGAGCCACTTCTGGTAAACAGGCTGGGGGATGAACCAAACGCCCAGTTAAGGAACCTGATGCTGACGCTCACAGGATCGGTGTCGGGACAAGTGTACAGAAGGCATCAGCTCATGTCACATCTTTGCGGACTTCTTGTAGAACTGCTTATGGCGGTAAGTCTCTTCCTGCTGCTTTTGTTCATTAATTCTTTTTTTTTAAGCACAAATGTATGTTTAATGTGACTCAGGGGGTACAATAAAAATTCCCCAACATCAGTTCAACAAATGTCAAATAAAGCTAACAAATCCCCTTTTTGTTTCCTTGCTTAGGCCTGGAGAAATACAAGAAATCCAACTCCTGTGAGGGCTCCACTGATTTCAACAGAAGTCTGCATCTTTGTGGGGGCGACATTACCAAATCCTAAAGAAGGGTCAGACCTTAATTGCTTTCATTTCCTGAAATACACCACTGTTGAAATGTTATCTCATTTCAGTTTTTCCAATTAAAATGTTAACAGTTTTATTTCTGTTGTTGTTGTTACATATTGTTCGGTGCAACTGCAGAAATCTGGCCTCAGAGACATTAGTATTTCACCATCTAAATTTGAAAATTTTACCTGTGGGGAATATTATTTTAAATGTAACATATTGTGATTGCAATGAATTATTCCTCTTTTCCCTTCTTTGTCTACTTAATAAATTGTATTTTTACAAATAAAGTAAACTGTGGATCTTGGCTGGAAATGCACTAGAAGTTCATCACTTGGAAGTTTGCTTTTTCAATAGTAAACGAAATGAGAGGCTTATTGCTTTATAAAGTCCTATATTTAACTCTTCCTAGAGAGTAAAGTCAATAGAGCATTAACAAGAGATACTTTTAACCTTATTTTTATGTTTCATTTATATATATTCTTAAATGTGGAGAGTAGTTACTCCATAGAATATTAACAATTATGGAGACTAAATTTTATAATCTGCAAGTCAACCATTTGAATAACTCCTATGTAGTATGACATATCCTTAGCTTTAAAAGATATCTCATACTTTCTATTTGGAATGTAAAACAGTAATGTTTGGTGTTTTGTACTACTACACCTCAAGAGCAAAAATTCTCTAAATAATTTAGAAAAGTTTACCACTAAATGCAATTTTCTATAGTAGGTATTTGAAACAAATATTTCTGTTCACTATTTCACTTCGAATCACATACATTTTGGTAGTCTCTAAGGTACTTAAACAATCTTACTATGCACTGGGATTTCAAATTATGATGTATACACTGGACAATACAGTGGATTGATTTGGCATCCTTCTCCCTGCTACTGATGAGTATTTATAACTCACAAGGGACAGATAAATGTTTTAATCTTTAATTTATTATAAATATATAAAATATTCAAAGACAACTTCCTGAATATTTTCCCTATAGATTTTTAAATACAAATCTAATTTTTTTAAATTCAAACTTAAAAATAACATGCAAGTTCATATTTGTTTGTTTGTTCAGACTTTTTCAAGTCAGACAGCCACATTGTAATAGTAAAAAACACATCACAACACATATAAAACTGGGGTGACTTAATACAATGTTATCTAACCTAACCAACGTGCAGGACAGCAATATGTTTAAGAAATTTAATAGGAAATCTACTGTTGTTAAGATAAGGCATCCTTTTTCTTAACAAAAGAAATCAGTAAAGCTAAGTAAAACATGGATTTTACACTAACCCTAATAAATGTTAAGAGTGATCCAAATTCAATCTAGGAAGTGCAAGATCCAGATTTAAACCATTAGAAAAATCCCATTGGAATCCCACAATTCTGTATACCAAGGATTCATGAACTGCAACAAATCAATAGTACACAAATTATTTAAAACTTGTGAGACATGATTTTTTCTTAAAGGAAACAGAGCATAGTTATTTAAGAAAAAGTACAACATAGTGCGACATTTGCATATTTCATGGCTAAAAAAAGGAGGCTGGTGTTGCCACTATCTCTACTTGGTGTAAATCATTTCTCTTCCTTACAGTCCTGATTTCCAAACAGATTGAATTTGGCATCTTACACTTGCCATTCTCAAAATCATTGTCTTTTTAATATTGGAGTAGAAATTAATTACCTAAAATAGTTTTTCTCTAAAATATTCCTTAGATTTTTTCTTTTTCTCTTTTTTTTTTCTTCACAAGAATTATTATACAAAAAAGTCACCTGAAATTTACTTTTGTACACATTCTTTACAGTGTTTGTGCTCACAGAATAAATATAATTTTCCATGATTTTCTGTACAAAGGCTAATTTTACTCTTGGGTCATTGAGTAAGTATCGGGGAATTTATACCACACAATGAGGAATTAAGGGTGTAAAATCCCCATGTTAATTGTATGTTGTTCATGATCTTGCTAGGAAGCATCAAAGCTTGTAAGAGAAGCTCTTCAAGCAATTTCTACTAAAAATAATTCCCTTCTTGTTTGAGTTAATTTAGTTCACATACAAGGTTCATTTCCACAAGCTTATAGCCCTGAAAAGAGGGGATAAGAAAGCCCAGGAACAGCAAAGCTTTTCCCTCTGTACCTCTTTTACACCAAGGCTACAGGAATGATCTATCTTCACTAACAGTGCAGTTAATCATTCACAAGGAACCTAATGCAATCAAGGATTTGTCTGAGAAAGCAGTGAAGGGGATGAATCTTAACCTAAACACCTTAACTCAGTTCATTACAATATTGCTTTTCAAGTGTATTTGAAAAGAACAGATACACTTGAAAAAACAACTTACAACAAAATCTTTGCTTATTCCCATCCCCCCAAAGCAAACTGTGCTTCTTACCATCATATTTCCTTGATATGACTTTTTCTATCCTTCTTTACAAATAATTTCTACCATTGTTGACGGGAATTAAGGCTGTGCAGTTACATTTAAGGAAGGAGAGTTTTGTCTAATTTACAAAAAACAGAGAGGTCATAGATGCTGAAAACTATACTGTAATGTATCTCAAAAAAATACTGCGAGTTTCAGCTCTAGACTCAGGTTTAATATTATCCACTCATAAAAGTCATTCTCCCCTAGCAGTAAAATTTGATGAACCAGCTTATAGCAAACAATTATTACATACAGTATTTGACAGCTATTGGGTCTCTCTTAAAATAAATAGTTAATCTTGCTGGGCTAAGAAAAAATCACAACCTTAAATAAATGGACTTGTAAAATTCTCAGAATATGTTACCCTGGAGATTCATTTTAATACCTATACTTAAAGACCATTTTTCAGAAAGGAAAGTGATCTCTGAGGTATGCGAGTACAACATACTATTTATTTCGTACTTACAAATAAGTATCTCACATAAAAATACAAAAATACAAATTTTATATAAAACGTCATCTCTTTCAATGCTTTATCTTTGAACCACAATGCCAAGTCATGATTGCAAAAACAGACTACAGCAGAAGAATCACTGTAAAAATAACAAATTGCTCAAAAGCTGCATGAAAAAATAACATAATAAGCATATTACATGGAAATACATTACAAATTGAGAACACATTTCTTCACTGGGGTGAACTATACATTGAATAAGTCCTATTTTCAGAGTTGAATGAACAGAAGTAGCGTCCCATCAAATCGGTCCAACATTCAGTTAGTAGGCTGAGAGTCTGGAGATCTTATCAGACTAACTGGTAGTTACAACCAGACTCTTTTTTCTAACATATATTACATGAAATAGGCATGGCTATTTCCCCTTGGATACAGGCCTCGCTAAACACATCTGCAGGTTATGTATGAAAGTCATTCTGCTGATGTTGGCTGCACATTTCAAAATTATCATTAATCACTGGAGGTTCATCTATTGTAGCACACCTGACAAGTGTAGCTTAGCTGTAAGTGCACCGAGCGCACAGGACACTGGCAATCAGTACAGCCCACGGGACAGAACGGAGAGACAGAATGGCACCTAGAATGTCTATGTAATAGTGTTCTGGAAGCTATAGTATTCTTTCTTGGTAGTAGTTCTGGGCTGGAGTATTTTGCACATGTATTGTGAAAGGGCTGCTGATAGTGTATTTTCAAAGCTAGATCCTGCCTCTATGAGAGGAAACCTGATGGGTTACACTTTGGTTATCTTTCACCTAAGCTGACTTTTTACGTCTGTTGGGGTTTTTTTAGCTACTATCCGATTCCAACTGATGATTAAAAACACTGCTCTATGAATAAATAATTATAAAATATGGCTGAAGTGACAGAAGATTAGAGAAATGGATCTCTATAAATAAACTGCCTAATATGTGAATGCAAAATCTATCATCAAAAAGAATTAACACTTTCAAATCTATGACTGAAAAATAGAGTTATTAAACTGTCAATTATTAAAACAGTGCAATTCTTAATATCTGGCAAGTTCCAAACATTGTTTTAGATATTTGTAGTAGCTCTTTCTCTATGCTGGGCCACTTCTGGAGAGTGCCGCAAACTTTAGTTCTCAAACTTTTTCGATTCTCTCTCCTTTAACCTTGACTATCAGCGATTCTGATTTACATTTCACCTTTTCCCTGCCCGCAAAGATTGCTGACTGTTCATCTAAGCTTATTGGTATTTATCTTACTGTCTAACAATTAAAGACAGTGAAGATAGAAAGTCTTCTTTCAGACTATGTCTTAAGCATAGATCTTTTCGTTATACCTCCCCTTGACTGCCATTCCAATTGCTCTCTGTTTTTTTACTGTTTGCCCTTTTATTATCTTTACCATGCTTACTTTGAACTCTCCTACTCCTTCCAGATTTCCTGTGTTAGAAAATCTGTCCATCTTCAGCTAAGTAACGATGTCTAGACACAAAATTAAATTAACTTATATCAATATATCTGCACTATTAACCCCTTGCATCTCCAGGAGCCTACTGAACCTGTAACATATTACACTGAGGTACAATTAGAAATCTATAGACTACCTATTTATACATAAAAACTTGACCTTACTGTTGAACCTTCAAATATCTCTACCTTCTTCATTCCAAGAATCAGAACTAATCCTGTTGCAGTGAACTGGAACTAGTTTTCAGCATTTCAGTCACCTAAGTCACCAGTTGCCCCTGTCTCAGCATCAATAGTTCACCTTTCGATCCTAGTTTCTCTAACACTTTTTCCAAACAGCACTTTACAAGCATTTTTATCTTTTACACTATATTTATTTTTTCTCCATGGTTTGAGTAAGTTATCTGTAAAGTGTTTTTAAAAAAGTTACATAATTCTACGATATTTCCATGTCCTAACCTGTAATTTTTTACAATGGGTATGCATACAACTATACACGAAGATGTAATGCCAATACAATTGTATAAATCAAGATATTATAATTAGCAATTGTCATTTAGAACTTACCTGAACGTTTGCTCTTGCTTTACTTGCCTGGCTTGATATACTTGCTCTGGCTGCATTAAATAACTTGTGGATTCCAGCAAAATGACCCTGGAGTATGGCAAGTACACATAATCACTGCATTTTTCACTTGCAGAATGAAGACAAAACTCAGTTTATTCTAACTTTTAAATGAAGGCTTGGCAAAGAAGCTTATTATTTTCAATTGGAAATATTTTTAAAGTACTGTAAAAAATTTTTAAACATATTTTAAAAAATACTTATTTAATAATTATTAATTCTTCTTTATTTAATAACTTACAACATTTTGCATAACTTAGGCCATGTAATTTTTAAAGCTCATGTAAGCATGCAAAATCCTGAGACACTTATTCAAGGGTTATTGGGAAATATTGTAAACTACCACCTCATCAATACCATAGGTTGATTTGTAATCATAGGGATGGTCCACAGCCATGTCATGACATGCAGACCAATTTTCAATTTTCTTTTCAAAAAATTAAAAAAAAAAAGAAAAATTTAAAACCAGAAAAATAATGCCAATTTCAATATTAAGACAAATTATATACATATTTTAATTTGAAATAATTTTCTAAGGTGTATTTACAATATGATCTGTACTAAATAAATGATTGAATAATCGATTCACTTACACTTGAAGAAGAAAAGCTCAGTTAATTTTATTTTGCTTTTGTAAATAATGAATCTATTAAGATAGAGTACATGGTGATTTCCCTGACAAACCACAAGCAACTGCTTCACTTTAGTTTTTCCTGGAAGATACCTATCTTCTTTCTTTTTATGTACATTATATTGTGCACACATTATTTCCATCCTAGGTATTGGATAATCCATTGACCTGCTGCTAGTCATTAGTCAAGAATTAATTTTTGGTGTCACTATAGAACTTCTGTTACATGGCACCAGCACACATAATTCATTCATTTTAAACTACATTTCTGCATGTTCTCTGCACTCCTAGATGACAGTAGAAACAGAAGGAAGATTACAGAGGACACAGTTAAAATACAGAAGCCAATGTCAACTAGCTTAGCACTAGCTGTGGATCTGAATTCAAACTTTTCAATAGTTATGATAATTTACACCAGCTTTAGTTGATTCTCTGCCCAAGTGTTGAACCTGACATTTCAAAAAATAATAATAATGACCATTACTTATTGTAGTATCTTATATTCTAGATATACTTTCCTATTCTTGGGAGACAAATAGCTGCATTTCACAAAGAAATGTAATGGACAATTTTAAAAGTATTCAACTAATTTTTCTTAATGAACTACAAACATTCAGTATTCTTTAAAATATGTATCTATACATAAGTATTAAAAGCTAGGTACTGTAAAAAAAAGAAAACATTATTTAGTTGATATAATGGGTAACATCTAACTAATAGCCGAACGCTAAGCAAGCATTAGTTTAGGGTGCAGAATTTTACAGCTTTTGGAAATATCTGACATTTGCTATATATTTGACACGAGTTCAGAGAGGCACTTATATATTTAATTTGTCCTTTTCTTAAATCATACCGTATTATACACCTAGTATTAAGTTTTTCAGCCTAGTTTTCTGTAAAAGAGCTACTTCCTTGGTATCACAAGTGCACTTCCTACTGTTATTTGCAACTAAGCAATGCACCTCCTGATGGAACCCTAGATGGTTCAAAACACTGGAAACTTGATACAAAGGATCTTTTATTTTTGATTACTGGTTCAAATATTGCCCAAATTGATAATTACTTCAAGTAGTTGTCAAGTAGCTTTTGAATGATATACGTAAAACTACATTACTTCATTGCCTTTAATCTATTCTGAGAGCCACCCACATCATAGAACTGATCACAGGCAGCCTCACTGACCACCTCAAGGACTTTAAAAAGAGCCAGGAGCTAAATAAATTCATATGATTCCCACATACGAGGCTTATGCCAGAGCACATTGCTGGAGCATTGAAAATAATCCTGTTACAGGTGTCTATACCAAACCCATTATGTGGGGAAAAGAGAAATTTAATTTGCAGCCTATGCAACGTATATTAAACAGATCAGTAAAACAAGCTAAAAATATTATGGAAAATGGTTCTTGTAAATAAATGAAGGACATGAACCAATGCTTAGCTCTACAGACTAAAAGACAGAATATGGAGTCAGATCACATAAATAGATTTTAAAGGGGCACAGTACTCTATTTCTTTTGTATTAAGGAAAGCAACATTTATAATTCTGCAGTTGTTACAGCTACGATGAATGCAAATGAAAAATTAGATTAACTGATAGTGATGCGAGCCTCAAGGCAAATGCATGGCTTTTTTTCTTTTGCATGCTTAAAAATTTAAACAGCAGGTTAAAGCAGATTGGGGAAAAAATAACCAACTATTAATTAACATGGTTTGTTTCTCTTTGGAATTCTGCTGGACCTCAGCCAAACACAAAAATACACGCAAGGTTGATGAACTCCATTTGATTAAAGCTCTAGCTTTATTGCTTACACTGAGATGGATTTCAATTAAGGCTTATTTATCTTCTTTATCCATTATGATAGCTTCCACTTCATAGTGTTTGTAACAATTTTGGTAATGTAAATCTCTATAATTCAAGCTCAAGGTTTTACATTTTTAAGGAGAAGAAGAAAATTATGGAAAAGAGTTGATAAAACAGCATGATCATTAAAGATTTGTATTTACAGCATTGTCTACCTGAATAGGCCATCAGTTCTGAAGGGATTAGTAACATTTAGGATAACTTTCTTCAGCTCATAACATGGAGATTTGCATTCTAATATATCCTAAAAGAGAACAAAAATTTTTATCAATATGAAAAAGTTGTGAAACTACATTCATGTATAATACATAAACAAATAGGAAAATATTTCAAAGAAGACTAGAACTATGTGTCTGACCACTGGTGATTACAAAATTAACATAATTTAAATGCTAGGCTTTGTTGCCAGCAAAGAACAGTTAAAGCCTATTTCTTTTTAAACATGCATTAAACTTCACCACATTTTAAATGCACTTCCAAATGATAGCACAAGGCCAAGAAACAAGCTATCATCTTTTTTCCTTCTTATCTTTACGTGTCCTCTATTTTTTTTCTCTTGCCCCAACCTTCCTTTCTAACATCAGTGTCTATTGCTATGGTATAGAGTCATGTAAAAAAAAAAAAAAAAAAATCACATAAACACCATCTAAGTTCAGAAGAGGATCTGTCCAGATCTGCTCAATGAATGTTTGATAACAAATGCTGGAACACATGCCTATCTCTGCTCTGAGTATTTCTGGGATATATCTTAAATCTACACTGTCTAAAGTCAAAAAGCACAAACAAACCTAGCAACGTTTAACAAAAGTTTGCTGAAATCACTAGGCTGAAGCATATCACCGCCTCCACAACGGAATTTCCAAAAGCGTTCATATGCTGAAAGGGCTCCAGATTTATTTTCAGAGCAATCAGTGCAAAAATTTTAAATTTAGTCATGTATGATTTATATCCTTAGGAATCTTAAATATTCCTCTACGCTTTTTTCTGCATGTACATAGGCTAATATTGGAAACCTGAAAATTTGTAGGTCAAAGGCTAATGCTGATGGTAACTCACATTTTTATTCTTACCTCAGTTCGCTTTTGTTTGATACAATGTACAGATTAACAACATTTTTCTGACAATGTTAATCATACATATATAAACTTACAGCAGGCTCAATATGCTTGACTTCAGATTTCAGAGAGAATGTCAGTGTGGCACCATCTATTCCACCCACATTTTTTGAGATCAGTAGCAACACTGCTTCAGCAGGGCGCAGAAAACGACTAGTGAATTCCACAGTCATACTTGTTTGTCTCCTAGGGGAAAAAAAATGAAAAAAAAATATATCTCTCTCTCTCTCAAATAATGATTGTTATTATTATATATTATTGTATATAATAATTATATATTGTTGTTGTTGTTACTATTATTATTATTTAAATAGGCACAAAACTGTGACTCAGAAATTACTCAGAAATGTCATTTCAGGAACACATTTTAGAGTCTTTGTAATGGAAGGGGGCTAGAAAAGAAAGTAATTTGTTTCTTCTGAAATACTTTGTTGTAGTTCAATCTTCTGCCTAAGAGCATGTTAAAATATTCTAATAAAGGAACTATATAGACAGAAAAAGAACAATATTGAGTCCTTATTTCTTTTTATGACCTCAGCATGTAGCTTAATTTTTCTTCCTCACACAGTAAAACAGGAAGTTCTCTTTCCTTATAGTATTACCCTAAGTTAACAACTGATTTACTTTATGCTCCCCTATTTGAATAGGTTTTTGTGAGTTAAACAGTTAGACATCCTGTTATGCATGTTGTGAGGCAGATCTAGATGTTCTTAATCATGAAAGAAATGAGTAAAAAAACCCTTCAGAATAATTAGTAAAGCTGAGTAATTAAGAGGTGAGGAAAAAAAAAGTCCTCTCATACAAACAAAGGCTCATGTCTCTGATGGAAAACTGGAGAAGGGGAGGCCACATGGAAGGAGAGTTTAGACTAGGTAAGAGTTAAGTTTATACCTGATTTGCCTTGGCCCTGCAACTAAGCAAGATCAAAAAGAAAAGTTTAACGGCTGAAGCTCACACCTTGAAGCTCTCAAAATCACTCCCTGATTTTGAGACTAATTTCTTAAGACAGCATGAAGGTCAGAAAAATTATAGTGTGTAGGATTGTTCTAAAAGCAAGAGAACACTACAACTTAAATGTATTCTGCCTATCTACACATATGACTGGAGCAGAGAGCACTTTCTCTAAACAGAAAAATACCTATATTTTTGGATTTGCAAGTAGAATATCTCTAAATACATACCAAAAGTCAGCTGACTAGTTTATACTTTCATTGTAATGCCATTCTATGTAGTTCAAGAAATTTTAAAACTTACCCCCCAACAAACTGAGATGGCAGAAAGAAAATAACCTATACTAAAAATCTTGAAATTTCTTAATTTACTCAAGCTGATATTACTTAAATAATACTTCAAAGGAATTCTTAAAATATAGGAAAAGGTTATATTTATAAACTGCAGGTTTGTTAGTTGTCTTTCTGGAAGAGATAGCAGATACTTGAATGAAAAAGAAGCTCTCCCCAACCCAAATCAGCCTTCCCCATTAAAAAATTTATAGGAACTGTGCAGCCTGTTAGAAAAGAATTAAAATAGAAGGCAGAAGGAAATTATGTGTGATTTATTGGTCTTCTGCCAACTGGAAGTTCTAAAGCAGAGGCAATCAGCTAACAGTGGTATGTGAAATATGCCTATTTTGTATTGTATGTATATATACTTACACAAGTAAGTGGTGAAGTAGAGGACTTGTAATAGCAATCAGCATACCACGTCTTCAATGGAAGCATGTTAATTTACATTTGGTTCATAACTTCCATAATAACAGCTACTTTTTCAAGTGAACTCAATGCACACATCTCTTCATGTAGCCTGAGCAATCACAATGATGGCAGAAGTTCTACAAATTTATTTTGATGGGAGTAGTGGCAGGATTTGTCCCTGGATGACAGCTGCTGTCAAAGAAACTTTCTGGGAGGTCCTTTATCTCATTCTTATGATGGACCAGGGAAAAAAAAAAAAAATATATATATATATATATATATATATAGTGTTCTTACTTAAAACTACCTTGGGACCTGAGAACTGGATGGTGATAAACGGAACACCAATATCTTAAAAAAAAATTTGGGGAAGATCAGGACAGTAACAGACCTTTAAGCCTCAAATCTATCCCATGCAATGTAGTAGAAACAATTATAAAGAATAAAAGAATAGGATAAGTATAAATGACATCCACTGTAAACAAGATCTAAATCAATGAGATCTAACTGTCAGGAGTCAACACTGTCACTTCTTACTATGCAGAAAGGCCATTAATGAAGACCTCAAGTGTCTGTGACAACTGGAGAGTAAGGAAGTTTACTGATGTTCTAAGTTGCTCCAGGTTGTAAGGACAAAGATTGACAGTGCAAAGATTGCAGGACCTTATGAGACAACAAAATGACAAGGAAATTCAGTGTACATGGATGTAAAGAGAAGCACACAGGGAAAGCAGTTCTGTGTTTACATAAAATTATGGCCTCCAAGTCAATATAACTCACCACTGAAAACTTGGGATTTGTGACAAATAGTTTCATGAAAACATCAGCACAGTGCTGGGAAACATCCAATAAAGCAAAAGAAGTGTGAGGAATAATTAGAAAAGGAATAGACAACAACATAGATCACCATTAGGCCACCAAACTGCATCCAAAAGGCTCAAACCTCAATTAATGTTTGCACCTCTTTACCTCAAAAAGGATATAGCAGAATTGAAAAAAACTCACTAAACTGCAGAAAGGATGACTATAGGAAATTTAACCCAGCATGATCTCTAGGCTTAACACCTAGGATAAAGTTCTTCCTAACACCAAAAGTCTCAGGATGTCAGTTCTGAGAATCGATGATGAAATCCTGGAAGTTCTGAAAACCTGGCTCTTACAGCTTTCATGTTCCTGCTGCAGAGTCCCCAGACATTACCATTTTTAACAGTGAAGAGTTGCTAAGCGCCCCAGAGTCTAAGGCTCCTGAGTCACCCTGCCATTCAAAAAATCCTGGAAAATGCATCCTGGGACTGCAGACTCCCAGAGAAGTATACTGCCTGAGACATACATTCCCAAAGCCAGTTTAAGGATCAAGTTTTAAGGAGCCTACTCTGCTCTTGTCGCAAATAGGAATGACAGGGAAATGGAACGTATGGAATATTCTGCCTCTTTGCCCTCCGGCTCATGCAACAGCAGAGAAGTCTGATTTGAATTGAAAACTGTTGCCTTCTGTGGCAAAACCAGCATTACAGAAAACACAAAGTTGCTTAGTTTTTTTTCTCTATTCATCTGTGTTGCGGTCAATGTAAAGTGAGGTAAAATTCAGCTCATGGAATTGTTCTATAATCTTGTTCATTCTCATATTATTATAACTAGCTTCATCCACACCCACTTCAGTTGATATATTGTAGGGGTCAAAGATTCTTAATTTTTTTATCAGCTCAGCATGTACCATCTTTCAAAAAAGCAAGCAATCAAATTCTCTCTCTTTTATTTGTTATATTTTGGTGTAGGAAAAGAAAGATAAAAAGTTGTTTAGAGGGATCAAATTTGTAGAGTTTAAGGCCAACAGAAATTACTAGATAACACAATCTGAAGTAGTTATACATTGTAGGCCATTATGTGCAACACAATCATCCTTCAATTGCTTCTGATAACTGCCATCTGGCAGAAGCATTTTTCTGAGAAAGCTCCCCATATTATCCGAGGCTGAAGGCTGGATTAAATAACTTTCTGAGGTCACTTCTTGCACTATTCTCAATGTTCTGTGATTTGCAAACCCCATGTGGTTAAAGAATTTGTCATTCAGATAGAGTTTCTTCCCCTCTATTGTTAATCACCTTCGCTACTTCCAGGTTGAATTTGTACAACTCCAGCTTCAAGCTGTTGTTCTTATAAAAAGTTTTGTTCTATATGGGTTGCAGATAAACAAGTCCCTTTCCCAGGAAGGTGCTTTTAAATATTGATCTTCATCATTTCTCTTGTTAAGATACCCAGACTGAGTAACTTATAGGCATATCTACACCACATAAGAGACCTTAGAGACCTTTATGCTATTACTGTTGTGAACTGCAAGTCTATATGGCACAGTGCAGTGCCCCAGAGAGTGGAAATCCCAGATCAAAGATTAATTACATTATATGCAAGATCTGACACTAAGCTACACTGAGAATGTTCTGATGCATCCCAAAAGCCAGAGCAGAATGACAGTATAGTCTTCAGAAGATTTCCCTGGTGTTCAGTTGCTTAGGATTGAAGCCAGTTTCATCTCAGCCAACTGATATAAAATATTCATTCTTGACAGATATTGGGTGTAGGTGGCAAGGTCTTGGTAGCAGGGGGCTCTAGGGGCAGCCTCTGTGAGAAGAGACCAGGAGCTGCTACATAACGGACCCACTGCAGGACACAGCCGAGCCCATCGGCCAAGCTGGTGGCACCTCTGTGAAAGCATATTTAAGAAAGGTCGAAAACATCAGAAAGACAGAGGAGCAAGGAAAAGGAGTAAGAAACACCAGTGGGAACATCAAGGTCAGAGAAGGAGAGGGACAGGAGGTTCTCCAGCTGCCAGAGCAGATATTTCCCTGCAGCACGTGGACAGGACCACACCAGAGCAGATATCCACGCTGCAGCCCGTGGAGGGCCCCATGCCAGAGCAGTTGGATATTTCCTGAAGGAATTGTGATCTGTGGATAGCCCATGCTGGAGCAATTTTTCCTGAAGGACTGCTGCCAACGGAAAGACTCACAGAGCAGGAGAAAAGCACGAGGAGGAAGGAGAAGCAGAGAGGAACTGTTATGAAGTGACCGCAGCCACCTGCTCCCCATTACCCCCTGTGCCAGTCAGGGTGGCAGGGGGACAAGATGGAGGACTCCGGAATGAAGGAGTGAAGTTGAGTCTGGGAGAAGAGGGTGGAGAAGAGATGAAGCGACGTTTTGATTTTATCTTTGTTTCTCACTACAAAAGTCTGGTTTAACTCATTTTCAATTAAAATAATTTCCCCTAAATCGAGCTTGTTTTGCCTGTGATGGTCACTGGTAAGGTAAGCAGTCTCCCCGTCTCTCAACCCACAAACCTTTTTTAGCAATTTTTCCTCCCCTGTCCTGTTGAAGAGAGGGAGTGAGAGAGCACCTGGGTGGGTGTCCGGCAGCCAGCCAAGTTTACCCCACCACAGTCATTTATGAGTTTCTCCAGCTAGCAATGGACCACAGTATACGTTGTCACGCTTCTTTGAAAATACAGACAGACATATATAACATATTTCTGTCACTTCATTATTAGTAGTTTAAAATCATTGGCATCTCTATCTAATGCTGCATCGCTGCTTCCTAGATATATTTAAGTAACTCCTCTTCATTACCCTTTGCCTTTCTGCTCAAATTTTTCCCTGATCTCTTTAGCTTATCAGTTTCCTGCAGTTCATCTCTCCTGGAAAGTAAACACAGTTCTTTCAGCCTGGGCCTTCATCTACAGAATCCTCTGTGCCAAGTGGGCTCACCCAGCAGGTCCAACAGGATTAGTCAGCCAGAGTTATTCTTCATTAGTGATTATAGTGACACGCAGTCATCTTAAATCTAATTATAGTTACTTCTAAATATAGGAATATATATATTTGGCAGATAATTAGAGACAAGTCACTATACATGACATGTCTGTCTTAAAGCCTTCCAGCTCTCCAATCAGAAGACTGACAAGTTTCAGTTTCTTTAGCCTCCTTATTGAGGCTATGGTTCATCTTTTCAGCTGTAATTGCCTGAACTCTCCTGAGTGAATATTCTCTGAACTGCTAATATTTCCTGTGACCTTTTACCCTGAAACTCTGGCAAAGCAAGCTTGACAACTTGACTGGAGCCTTGCAGCAGGCCTTCACAAGGCAATAGCTGCTATTTTTAACTGCTTCTTGTTCATTGGTTTATCTAAAGTACCTGTTTCAGGGGAAAAAAAGCTGGCTAGTATCAAGCTAGCTTGCAATGAAAGATGAACTAGTGGTGAAGGCATAGCCATATTTGTATATAATATTCATAAATTTCTGAGGAACAGTTTCAATTCAGGGGAACAAGGATGCAGAGATATCTGATCTTAAGTTGTCTGAACCATTACAGATACTCAGAAAGTTTTTTTTTTAAAGTATAACTCCTGTTTTTAAACTAGGACTCCTGTTCTCTGATATAGCAAGTAGGCTTTCCTAATTTTTAGTGTTTTTTAACACATTGATTCATCTGCCTCTAATCCCATATTTATGGATTATTTACTTCTAAAGGTAGAACAAATAACTTTAATGTGAAGTGCCTCTTTTTAGCTATTTTAACATCTTTTATTCCTAAACATGTTATAGTCATGCCCATCAAAAAATAACTCCTTTAAGTTTTACTAATACACTGACATCAAATTTCTTACTGAATACACTGAAAATTCTCCCTCACTTTTTATTTAGGCCACAAATATATTTCTTTTTTTTCTAGAAGTCTGTTACAAGCCTACCTCATTTCTGAGTTTCTCTGAAGTCATTCTTTCCAAAGTAAGCAGAACATTCTCTCCTACAAATCCTCTACCATTTTTTTGACCTTACACAACTGAATATCAATCAGCACTAATAGCCATAAACCTACACATAATCAATTAAACAAAGGTGTTGGTTTATTATTCATGTTACTACCACTTCAAAACCCACCTATGATATTATGATCTAATATAAAGCACCTACAAGACTCTCACCCATCTCAGCATGGAGTTCTCAAACACTTCCAGCAGAATATTAAGAAAACTATTACTTACAAAGAACCTATTTTTCATTTAATGACCAAGATTACAAGTAAGGTTATGTTATAAACTCTGCAGAGGTCACCAGTGGATGACTGGTGTTTCCACAAGCTTTTATTTCTATGCATTTTTCAAATGTTTGCTGCTATATATAATTCCAAGCAGCTCAATGACAAGGTTGCCCACATTTACTTGTGTCTTGGGTTTGGTTTTCTTTTTTTCCAAAGGTGAAGTGAAAAAAAGCCATGGAATTGACCTTTCTGAGAAACACATGATATTTTCAAGGCTTATATTTTTATGTTAATTCTTATTTGAAGTAATTGCAAAGAAAATGGAATCAAATCAGCCTCACAGCTCGCTGAAAACATAGCATTACTTGTCCCTTTTGCATATATTTACAATAACTATGTCATTTAGTACTGAAATATTGATCATCCTTAAAGACCACTGTATTTATGTTGAGTCTTCTTGAATTTGACAATATGTATTTGAAATTTTTCTTCTTCTCACAGTTTCTTTTCATACAGAAGTTGACCTTTGTTTTCCTTTTTACAACCTAATCCATTTTATCTGTAAAGGAATATCTTAAATAGACTTCCAGTCTAAACTTAAAAACTCTTAACTGACAGCCAGAGTCACTGCTACGTCCCTCTTGTCTTCACTAGTTAAACAGGGATTAGTGAAATTCCTGTATCTAATCATAAAGCCACCCAGCACAGAAAAAGCAAAACATACTTAGTGAACAAAAAGATGGCAATATACCATGAGTATTTCTGCTACTAAAAATGTTAACAACCTAATGTTTTCTTAACATTAAATCTCTCCACAATCCTTAGATGGCTTTCAGAAATGTAAGATAGAGAAATAACTACATTGCAACTGCAACAGTTTCTGTCTTGGTGGGGAGGGAGGATGGGGGCAAAAAGAAGCAACATAACACTACTATCAAACCTGTGTCGTGGTCTCTTAAATTCCCAGACATGCTTCAATTAAGAATAAGAAACAAAACCTGAAATCTTAAAAGAAATAATTTTTACCTGCTCATGCTTCCACAATGCATTGATGTCAAAAATGAGAATTATGTTTAGAGGAGATATTTCAACTTCAGTTAGGCAAAAAAATAAAATAGAACAGCAGATCCAAACTGAAAATTAAAGCTTACAATACTTTGGGACAAAAATATTTATTGAACACAGATGGCTCCTCTAATGATTTGAAAGCATGGATTCTGCTCTTAAGCTCTATTGAGCTAAACTGCAAGTGTCCCACTGATAAATCACTCTGGATTTGTTCTAGGTTAAGGAGAAAAAGCCTAATCTTTATACTGACTAGTTTTGCCCTGCTTAGAGTTGAACATATTTCTAGTGTTCCACCACTATTAAATTAGTAGGTTTATATTTCCATAATGCTAGACTTATTAATAACACTAAAAAAATCATCACTTACTTAGGGGCAATGGTCACAGTCTTTCCTTTAGGTAATGAGAAGTCATCAGCATCTCTTCCTACAAGAATAGCATTGTATATCAAAGTTTTACTGCTTGGGTTTTTCAGACGCAGCTATCAAAAAAACAAGAACAAAATCAGTTTATCACAAAATAAGAAAGTACTTCTAATGACTAGGTAGATCATTTTTCTTCCTAAGGCGTGTAGACTTCCCACAGACTATCCAACCTCATTTCTTCTGAGTACTCTTTTTGTAGTGTACACTGTACTCCTATGCCTGTTAATCTCGTATTCCTCTCTATCTTTGATCTCAGATTTGTTAGATTTGTAGATTTTTTTTTTTTTCTGTTCTTACAAGCATAGGGAAAAATCAGCAGCAGAAGTCACAATCCCAAGCCTGAAGAGAAAAAAAAGAAGATACATGCTTCCATCTTCTGTATTTAGTAGCCTAATGACATGAAACCCATTCAGTCTTTGCTGTAGTATATACATAATATAAACACACATATATACACAGTGTTTTAACCTTGTACTGCTACTAATCTGAATTCAATAGTATCAGTACCTGTTTAACAACAGTTGCGTGGAGAGCACCTGTAAATTCTATAGTGTTCTTGGGTAAGTAGTGAGGGAGACTTTCATATAGGTAGACACACAGAATAAGCATTGTGACTGGGTTTGGATCACAGATGTCAGTGGCCTAATATTGAAAAGAAAAAAGAAAAAAATAACCAGATATTCAGTTAAAATTTTGCCTGTATAGTTCAGAGATATGAAGATGACGAACAAAAAAATTTAAGGTAATTCTTTTATACAAATATTTTCAACATAACTTGTAATAACTGGATTAGGCCCATAACTAAGATGAATATGAATCTTGTCAGTGCACCAAAAAAATAATTCTTGAAGACCAATGATATGCTCTGGTAATAAACCTATGCTAAAAACTAAAACCACCTTTCTTCCCTACAGTTCAACAGAAACAGATGTTCATTTTATTAAAATGAAGCATAATAGAAAAAGCAAGTAAAATTCACCGACTGGAAAAAACATATGTCTTTATTATCTTTAAAAAACCCCAAACTTCTAAAATCTTTACGTTTACTATGTAAAGTACCATCCCAAATACTCCTAGATACAGTTTTGCAACTGTTTATGAAGACATCACCATCCATCTAACAACTATATAGTTATTTTTATTGCAGATGCCAAATTGCTTTACAAAAGGTAGCAAGCATTACTGCATCTTAAATATTTGATTTACAGAAATGAATTTAAATGGCAACTGCAAAACATGTCAAAGCTTTAGTCCTCAGCGATTCTGGTAAATCACTGAAAAGAGAGAGGTAGAAACTCCTCCATCAAATGCACAAACTTTTCAGAAGACTAATCAAATGGTAAAGAGACTTAATGATGTGTCTTCCCACAAATACAGGCAGGAAAGATCTGGCTACAGATTTAAACAAATAAGATTCTGCACTTCCTAAATCAAACAAATTAAGTATTTTAAAATTTCATGCTTAGTAACTTATAATATAACGTTATTATAATAAAGTTGTCTATAATATACTAAATAAACTTTTACAACTGCAGTAATTTCTCTCCTGAATTAAATATCAAGTCATACTGAAAAATATACACACTTGGGAGTAGATTTAAGCAGCAAACCACTGCATTAACATGTCATCCCATTAAAAGGTGCTTTTTTCATTCAAGACATCTTATTCGGACCCCTTACATAACCGAGAGTCATTCAATACAGCAATATTTTGAAAAAGACCCTCACCTTACAGCAAAAACTTTGCCTAGTTCTCAAGCAAAAAAACCTGATCTATCGTGCAGTTGCTGATTGTCACTGTCACCCTCTCTAAGCAGCTTGGATGAGTTGCGCCTAACTACAGGTGAACTCATCCCATCGTTCCAGAATCAAGCCTCCTTCTTCACATGGTTTCATCACATCATGAATTTGAAGCTGTAAACCACTCAAAGAATAGAGCACATTTTTACTTATTTTAATATTGACTTGTACATTGCTTAGAAGCATTGTATATACATAAAGGCAACATCTTTTAAATCTGCATGGTCATGTAAGAGTGCAAGAAAAGAGGTATGAGACACTTTTAAATCCCAAGACTTTATGATACAAAACAGCTGTACTACTTGGTTTTTGAACTTACTAGGAGATACTTCATATTCAAATACATTAGCAATAAGGAAAAAGAGCTTTCTCTGATCAGCAACTATTGGAAGTTTCACATCCATTTCTAAGGACATGAACAAACAGTCTTAAATGATAAAACATTCTTTTGTAGCACAGGCGTACTTAGGATATCGAAGACTACATAATTTTTGCACTGTCCTAACAAACAAAAAAAGAAAAAATGAAGAAAAAAATTTATCTTAAATGGCAGCCTTTTTTGTTTATCTAGAAGAGGAATGAAGAGAATACATAACCAGTTTTATTTAGAACATCAGTTCTATTTGCACCAGTTTTATTTACAACACCAGTTTTGGTTAGAAACAAGTATATACTATAGGGGACCTGAATCTGCCTCATAAGTGTGTACACAGCAGGCATATTGGTGGAAAAAGGTCTAGAAAAAATGTCTGTAGCTTGTAAGCAAAAAGGAAAATCAAGAGTTGCATGGAATTAACTGCTCTCAGTCTGCTCTCAGTGTTCACCATCATCCATCCTCCAAAAACTACTGCAAGTAATAAAATCTCCCACTCACAACGTTAGCCCACATTGTGTGTCAGGAAATTACAGCTGAGTTAGTAACAGCACACAGATCTCTCCAGATGAGAGACTGCTGCATAAGTATAGCTTCCATAGGTACAAAAATCTCTCGCGCACATTGTAAGCACAAACATATTTGCTGATTCAAGACTAGCAAGCTATCAGTAAATCCAGTATACAACTTCCCTGCTTCTCTGCACGTACGTGCTTCCCTCAAGCAGAGCTTTGTAAGGAAGGTCTTGTAACGTAACCTGAAAAATCAGCAAGCCCGCAACTTATTAGATATGAAGCAAAAACTCATGCTAGAAGAGTGTACGGTGATACTGTCAGATCCATCATGGGAAAAGGGCAATTCTAACTGAAATTTGCCAGATGACTCCAGCTGTGGCAGTATGGAGACAGAATGTGATACTCCAGTGCAAGCCTTGGTTATCTTTTCTGGGTAAGTTAAGAAAGCAATAAAAATGGTAATGTGACAATTTTGAGGAGATCGGATTAATAAAAAAATTAAAAGTAAATAAATAGCATCCATCTAATAAAATGTGACATTAATTGAACTATATTGAATAAGAAGCCCAGGTTTTTGGCACAACCACTTCTGTGAAATATTTTAAAAACTTTGCTGCTCATATAAAAAAAATTATCACTCTAGATAACATATCTTGTTCATGGGTAAATTTTATTACCACTGTACCTTTTCAGGACCAAAACCTCTTAATAGTAAACTATGAGGATAAAGCTGTATCAACTTAATTTTCTTTTGATACTTTGTCAGTAAAGTCTCATTTTAATACTTATTGTCAATACCATTAAAATTTCCAGGGATCTCTGAGAATAAGAAATATTTCTATACGTTAATATTTCTTCTATAAACTACATTATACCAGTTTTTCACAGGACCACATTTTCAGCCCCCACATTATTTTATTTTTATGACCAACTATATTCTTGTCCTCAACATGATTAGATGTTTATTGCCTAAATGGAGCATTAGAGGAAAAAAAATCTTTAAATCTTTTTTAATTGATTCTTATGAGGCAATTTTCATAATGAACCATCAATTCCAGAACCTCAATACTCTCCAGCAGATTAATCAAGGGAATGGATACTATTTCTAAAGCAGCAGGATGAAGGAAACAGAGCAGCTATTTAGCCAGTCACCTACTCTCTGATGCGAGCCCATGTAGAAATATTATTTGCATTAGTTAGTGTTTCACCTTAGTATACGTCTGCTTCTAGATGAGCCAAGTCTCTATTTTATTGAATAGGAAAAATGCTACACATTTAGATTATAACAAGAAAATGTAGCAATATTTTTATTCTAATAAAATTCTTGTACCGATTATATTTTCGTCTTCGGTATTAAGAAGATAAAATGAAGAATAAAAATCCAGATTATTGAAACATCTGAAAAAAATATGACTTAATTTAGAGTGTTCCTAAAACATGGTCAGCTACAGATATGGGATTTAAAGTTATGTTTTTCTCTCTCTTCCATTCATATTTCTCCAAGGCTATAAAAAATGGGTTTGGATAACTACTTAAAAATTCTTTTTTTTTGTCATTTCCAAGAACAGAAAATTGTAGCAATTAAAAAAAAAAAAAAATCAGTGGGAGATAAGAAGCCTAAAATAGTCAACTGAATAAAGCAACTCCATAGGAAGAACTAGTCCCATGTGGATTCCCACTAGGAACCTTGAAATCAAAGTAAAAATTTCATTCTCATTATCAGAAAGTTTTGGATAACTGCAGTTACTCTGCTTCCCAAATATTAATGAAGAGACTTTGGGAAAAGACGTCACATTTATTAGCCACATGGGCTGAAAAAAGGGAGAAAACTTTTTTGCCTCTTCTGGACCATCTTTAGTGCAGCAAGAGAGATGTATAGACATATCTATCATCTTAAATAATTAATTAATTTTTATTTCCAAGTTAAAGTTTTATACTAGAGCATATATTGCAGTGTCTCTACAAACCAGCCAATTCAACCTCCTAATTACTAAAAGCTGAAGATCCAACGCTCTGTGAAAAAGTAAATACATATTCCAAAGAACAGAACACAACAGCCAGTCCATCTTCAAATTTTGCAGAAAGGCCCTTGTTCCTCTAGTTAGTTCCTCCTGCAGGTATGGCAAAAAGCAGTTTCATGAAACGTCCCTTGTCAGAATACAAAAGCAGCTGTAATGACATTGAACAAAGATCCACAAGATCTAAATGCTTATGGATGTCCTTGGAGTTATCAGAGACTGGGTATCCCACCATTCTGACTGCCAACAGAGCAGTTGCTTGAGTAAAGAGTGTAAGAAACTGGGCAAATATTAAGTGGTCTTTCCATTGACATGATTTGCCAGCTTCTGGAAACTAGTGGCTTAAGGATTTATGGAGTACTGTTAAACACCTCTCTGTCATTATTTTAATTTCTTCTCTATTTCGTTCTTTACATACAGAAATAAGCCTGACTGTCATTAACAGTTTATGAATTCTTTTTAATTAGAAATTACTTACTGAGTTTTCTTCCTCTTTTGATGTTATTAAAATGCAATATTGACTGACATCTACTGCCTAAAACATAGGACCATAGAAAGCAGCTGAGATTTAAGTTCTAAAGCAGGAGGTCTAAGAAAACAAAACGATGCATCACTGAGCACAAGTACAAATAGCTCCACCCTCAAACCGCTTCTACTTGGTGATTGATGGATCAGCAACTAACAAAGGTTTTCTTCAGCTAGCAGAAGCTGCATTTTGACACAATAATTTTGTGAGGAGAAAGGATGTAAAGGGCAAACATTTGAAACTCTAGTGGAGCCACCTTCCTCCAAAATGACGTAAAAAAACTTGATAGCTTAAAGCAAATATTCCACGTAGAAAAACCTTTATACAAAATAAGAACCTAAGAGCAGCCTATTGGCTCAGACCATGGGCCAAAAGGACACCACTACAAGCTGATGCCTACATGAAAACGA